TGCATTCATATACTTGTACCCAGTAGGTGTAGACTAGTCTCATTTTCAACCTGGTATTTTATTTTAAGGCAGCTATATCAGTACCAGTCCAGTCTAACGACAAAACACCTAACCTTAATCTTTTTTATGATGTTACACAATAAGTGATGTATGAATGACTGCGTAATGGCTCCCTGTAGGCAAATAGATACATGCTCTGAAGATAACAGATATGCCTTTTTTTATAAATCAGATATTCATGTGAAAACATAACCCCTGATTTCATTCACCTCACCAGAATAAAGCCATTGGAATTTAAAGTGTGGCACACGGACTGGTAAAAGATGTTCATATGCTCTATGTACGAGCTTATGCAAAGCGATCTTTTAAGATTGTGTTTCCTTATTCTACTCGAGCATCTTAAACTATTTCCAAGTTCATGTTCACGAATAAATGCCCCATGACGGGATAAACTTGAAGTGCTGTTTTGTACGTCAATAACGCATGGATAAAATTTGGAGGCTTCCTCAACTGGGAAGTGTAAGAAACATTCACATAAAACTATGGATGAGCCCATCGCTTTTGTGAAACAATTACTATCAATGGTTTTCAATGTTCAGCGAGGATAATGACTACTTTTCTGATTCAGAAGGCAATAGAAAAGGAGCATAGGCAAAGCGAGACAGCAGGAATGGGGATAGGCAGTCCGATGACCGACGAACTCCGAGACAAATTCATGCTGAATAAAAAAAATAAGCGACCAAGTATTCACAAACTAATCGTTCACCTAGGAGAAAACAAATGATAAGTGCTTTAAACAATATTGTGCTGAGTGGTATGACATCTTTTCACTGTTTAATTAACATTTGGTGATGCAAAAATGTAATGTGTGCTAATGTGATATTAGGCCTTGTCCGAGATGCTATGCACTGCATGACTAAACAAGGGGACTTGGGAAAGCATACTTTAATCCTCTCCATCAATGTCACTCAAAAGAATAGGTGTGTGGGAGAAGAGATCTGACGAAGGTCGGGGTGTACTATGAGTTCGATTAGTTGCTCGTGTTGAGTTGATTTGATTCTCACTGATATTGTGGTATCCCATATAAAATGTTCAGAATAACGACACGGATTTGGCACAAAATTTGCTTACCCTACCAGAATATTCATGTTTCATCTGTCTACGTGATCCCTGCATAAATTATTTCAGCAAATGAAGCTCCCGCAAATCCATCCTAAGAGAATCGAAAAAAAATTGTAGTATCTTGCAATTTTGGAGATTGTAGGCGATATGATGCAGGAACCCACATCTAATTTCTGGTGCAAGTATTAACACAGATAATTAAGTGTGGCTTAATTAAAGTATATTAAGAAGCTCATTTTCCTAATTCAAACGTTCGTGGAAAAAACGTGATGGTGTTTTAATTCTCTAAGGCTGATGGTTGTTTATTGAGGAATACAGATGGGACATCGCCAATTTGGCATACATAACACAAAAATCTCATCAGAAACATTCCGCGTAGTTCCTGGCCCCTGAATGTAGCAATCGATAAATATTCCTTTAGACCAGGCGGTTTGACCGCGGTGCTCTTGGTGATGAAATAATTCAGTATATTGCCTGTTACTCACAAATGCGAGTAATACTTCACGCAAATAACTATCGTATTCACGGTTCCATTGAACTATCACGGAAACCTCTCTGGTCCCTTATTAGAGACCCTTGTATATATGCAACAGTGTTTGGGTACATCAGTAGCGAATTTGCACACGTGAAGTAGTTTGTCCATTTTTATTGTTAGATGCTTACAGTATACACAACTGAGATGTTTCTTATTTTCATGTGAGTTTTATGATCGTGAGCATGATTACTATTGAAAACAAAATATTAAGACATACTGTGAAATATAACAATGAACTAGTCGAAAACTAGCCTAAAATACACAAAAAACTGGGTTTAATCCAGCATGCGATTTTTCTAGATTAGAGAGAAAGTAAATAACAACTGGTATACATGAAACAGACTTCAACAATACGAGCACCAGAATTGCAACAACAATTCAATGAAGTAACTTCGCTGGCCATCGATACAATGTCTATACAGTTGAAGACCATTGCACTCAACCAACACTGGAGGACTCCTAATCGAGCTGGCAGCGATGCCATTAGTGAATACAGAATTCATAAATTGAGTAGTTATCCTAAATTACTTAATTAAATCTAACCGTTATTCTTCTATTAGAAACACTTTCAAGTCAACAGACAGAATTATTTGGATAATTTGGTTTTAAACACCTTTCAAAATGAAAAGGATTCGATTGGTCTAAAAGTGGCAAACACAAATCTGTTCTTTTGGCACTTTTCATCAGGCCAATTACAGTACAGAGTCGAACATGTAGACGCAACAGAGAGAGATAATCTGTAGTGTAAGTACTCATCCAGATGGAAAACTTGTTGAACCAAATGAAATCATCGGTACCTGCGGGCGAAATAGAAGTACAGCAGTTGACATTCACGCTTGTGAATTGTAGTTACCAATGCCTCAACTCGGGACAACCAAGGCAATGTATAATGAAGGATCGGCACAAAAAATCCCTCTCAACATAAAACTTCAATCTGCCAAAGAAACATTTTCACAAATAGGAAAGTGATTGAATTGCAGTTTCTATCATTTTTCCGTGTATAATTTGATGAGTTATGTTTCCTTTCTTTGTTGTTACTCATGAATGACGTATATAGACTCCATAAATACGCTCCCGTTACGAAGATTCACAAAGAAAATAAACAGTCTGCTTGTTACATTTTATTGAATTTTTGGTGTTTTCACATATTTCTAGAGTTAAGGGGAGTTTTATGTAGCCTGTCCGTTATTTCTCTGATTCTGAAAAGGTTAAACTGAAATGAAGTTATTTCATTTTACTACAATGAACATGTTTATGAGATGTATAAATTTGCACTAAAACAACAGATTTCAGGTATCATAGAATGATCAGAATACTGGGCGTTTATGGCACAGTGTAACTCACTAAAAGACGCCATTGACGAGGTATGCAACCATTCCGAAAATAAGGAACAATGAGGGATTCGATTTTGTTACACCATCTGAAACGGAATATACGGGATACCATTGTTTTATCTAAGCTTCCTTCATCATGATTCCGCATAAATCAAGTCTCAGCAGCTGCACATTTTTCCTTGAACAGTCGGTCTGCAATACGCTGCGCTTTGTACAAAAGTTTCGCTGGTTTGCAATACTCACCTAATACGTAGTATACGGTAACGTCGGTATTGGAAGAATCTCTGACACTTCGAATTAGTTTATTCGGAGCCGCAACGATTTCGTCTGGATTCTTCGGATGTTGTTCCGGTTCTTTTGGACTTTTGAGGGATTCTTTCACCATCTCTTCATTTGAACCCTCTGGTGGCTGCTTTTCCTGACTTCCTTCCCCTTCTCCATCAGGAGGTTGGCTGTCCCCTTTACCTGTCTTTTCCTTCTCCCCTTTCGATTCATTTGGGGGTTTCGGATCTTTCCCTGATTCCTGCTTTGATGTCGTTGTTTGTGCTGTACTTGGTTCTGTTGCCGCTGTTTGTGCAGTTGTGGCCTCCAAATCCGCGCTCACTTCAATTGCGTCCTGGGATATCAACTGATTATTTGTACTTAACGGACACAGCTTTTCTGATGTCCCTCCACTCGCTACATTCACGCATTTGGTTCCACTGGTAGCCTGAAAATAATTGAATAGATAGGCTATAGTTCATTCAAGTGAAATGCTTTATGGTTCGAACTCAACTTGTGTAAATTCCTGTTGACTTACGTTAACATAGACCTTCACCGCTTTACCGGAGTCCGACGACACACGGTACTGGCAACCGGAGACACTGCCTCTCACTACAACACTTTTCACATCATTCGAGGCAATAACTGGTTCACAACTCTCTGCCTCCGTGTCTAGTCATTGTAAATGAACTGCATTGACACTTTGCTACTTACCGACAACTACACTGACGCAGAATGTGATTACCAGGAATTTCACGATCTTGGACTTCATGCTCGTTGTTTTCAATTCACTGGTAACCGCTGGCTTTTATAGTGTGCCTGGAATACATCTGTTTACGGGATTGAGTTTGGTTGATAGCTTTCTCTCTGATGATTCACGTGATGGTGTGATAGATCGGCTTCAATATGTACTAAGCACTGGTTGAAGCGATGATGATGGGATTCATCACGCAGACGAAACACCACTGACGGCAATATACTGGTAAAAATATCACGTCTGTCTTACTATTTATGTAAATCTAATGCAAAGGCATTCTTCGCCGTATGAGTATGTGTGGGAGAGAATTGATGTACGAGTTAAACAGTGTACAATCACTTTCGGATCATTTGAAACAAATCTATCTTAGACCACCGAGTATGCTACACAGGTTTGGAATCCATGGCTGATTTACGACCAAAAGTCAATTGAACGTCCGCAGAGAACAGCCACCAAAATTGTCAAAGGGTTACAGTCTAATACCTACAGTAAAAAACTGCGAATTATCGGACTTTATTCGTCT